CCTCTACTCTTCACCGGTGCTACTTGTACGCAAGAAGGACGGAACATGGCGAATATGCGTTGATTACCGAGCTCTCAATAGCATAACCATTAAGGACAAATACCTTATTCCAATAGTAGATGAATTGCTAGATGAAAGGGAGCACAAATCTTCACAAAGCTGGACCTTTGATCTGGGTATCATCAAATACGAGTGTGCGAAGAAGACATACCGAAAACCATCTTTTGAACACACAACAACCACTACGAATTTTTGCTTTCTTCAATAGAAGGTGAAATATCTTGGGCATATCATATCAGAGGAAGGTGTAGCAGTGGACCCCTTCAAAATTGGAGCAATGCAAAACTGGCCGACCCCTAGAAATATAAATTTGCTACATGGCTTTCTGGGTTTAATAAGCTACTACTACAAGTTCGTGAAAAATTATAGAAAGATCAGTGCACCACTTACTTCCTTACTAGAAAAAGATGTCTTCCAATGGTTGGACAGAGCCTCTACTGCCTTCGACAAACTTAAGGCAGCCATGACAACGACGCCGGTGCTAACACTATCAGATTTCAACTGACCCTTTATTATTGAGGCTGACGCATCTGGAGTCGGAATTGGAGTCATTCTCATGCAAGATGGTCGACCACTCGCATACACTAGCAAGGCATTATCTCCCTCCCATCAAAATAAGTCAACATATGATAAGGAGATGCTCGCCATTGTGCGCGCAGCAACGAGGTGGAGACCCTACTTGATTGGTCGACGATTTCAAATTAAAACCGACCATAAAAGCCTCAAGTACTTTTTGGAGCGAAAGATATCATCCCCTGAACAGCAAAAATGGGTAACAAAACTTCTTAGATTTGATTATAAAATAACTTACAAAAAGGAGAAAGAGAATGTTCTTGCATATGCGCTTTCGCAGCTACCCGAGCAAGTTGAAGTTTCGGTCGTTTCACTTCCGACCAGCGACTTTCTTAAGGATATTAAGATGGAATGACAAGAAGATTCAGAGACTAGTAAGATTATAAAAAAATTGGAGGAAGCACCAAGCCCCATGGCTCATTACAATTGGGACTCAAAAGAATTACACTATAAGGGACGCATTGTGCTTACGATAAATTCTACTTGCATCTTCACAAGTAGATTTTGGACAAAGTTATTCTATATGTAGGGTACTAAATTGAAAAGAAGTATGTCATATCACCCACAAATCGACGGCGAGACAGAAGTTGTAAATAGGTGCTTAGAGACAGCCAAAAGCCACCCGCCAAATATGACTATCCAAGGAGAACTCCAGACCCAGCCAAGTACCATTATTGATCGACGGATCGTGACTCGACGACGATGACCCACTACTAAAGTTCTAATATAGTGGGTGAACCTAACAATAGAAGATGCCACTTGGGAGAACTATGACGACTTGAAGATCAAATTCCCAAAATTCATGAATCGTCAGCCTCGAGGATAAGGCTGATTTGAAGAGGACGGGTCTGTTAGGACTCTAGCTAGGAGAGTCCTAATTGAGAGGAACATTCATGTAAAATCTACCTAAGCAGACCCCTATTAAAGAGATGAAGAGGCTGGCTAGGGTTAGGAGGTTGTTTCTTAGAGAAGAATAAAGAGTTGTAAAGGAATAGGAGTCTTGAGCAAAAGTCCTATTAGGAGTTGGTTAGAAGTAGGAGTCTTGAGTAGGAGTCCTATTAGGAGTTGGGGTTTAGAAGCCCTATAAATAGTCATGTATTCCTCCTCTTTTGATAAGCAATAGATGAATATTTTCTGCAGCCTTTGAGCAGCAACTTGGAGGGAGGAACCCCTATAGAGTTCCAAGGAGGCCGATCCCGTAAAGAGATCAACCCCAAGTTTCGAATCTGCAAGGGTTCTAACAGTCTCCCAGGAAGACTAGGTAGTGCAACCGCCCTAGTTAGGCGGTGCCACCGCCTAGGCTCAGTCTTCGAGCGAGACTGAGCGGTGCAACCGCCCCTGTCAGGCGGTGGCACCGCCCAAAGGCTCAGCCTCTGAGCTGCTAGGCGGTTGTACCGCCCCAGTCAGGAGGTAGTACAGCCAGGACCCCGGAAATCTGGGAAGAGATATTTTTGAGCTCCAAATTCAAACTAGTTTGGGGCCTATATATACCCCACCCTTTCGTGCATGAAAGGGCACCGAAAATCTAATCTTACTCTGTGAATTTTAGAGCTCAAAAGTGTTGTAAAGGCTAGAAGTTCTCCTCCCTCTTTTTCCAAGTTTTGATCTTTCAAGAGAGGAGAGAAAAGTTTATAAGGGTTGTCTCCTAAGCCCGTCAAAAGGAGTGAAACTATAAAAGGGTGGTTGGCCTTCGCCTAATGAAAGAAGGCCTCTAGTGGACGTTGGTGACCTCGTTGGTGGAGGAAGCCAAAAGTGGATGTAGGTCAAGATTGACCGAACCACTCTAAATCTTGGTTTACATTTACTTTGAGCATCTTATCTTTACTGCAAACCTCCTCAGTAGCTTACTGCTTTCTACTCATTTACGAACGTGTTTCATAGTTAAGTATTTTCTGAATCGGCATTAAGACGGAAATCGGTTTTATCGTACGAACATCATATTTCAGTTTGCGCTTACATTCTGATTTCTATCTTAACTGCAAACTGCCTTCCTTACTTTCCTTCAAATACATTTCCATAAGCTTTCAAAGTTATTATCTGCACGAAACAACTTTTACGTCGGAATCGGATTTCAACGTACGAACGCAGTTTTAATCGTCGAAAGTTTTCTGTTGCACTAATTCAAACCCCCCCCTCTTAGTGCTCTTGATCCTAATAGAAGCGATCCGGGAGAATCAAGATGGTGCTACCTTATGGCAGTCACTCTCCAGGGGAAGTCGCACCCTCAAAAAACCCCAAATCCCTGTGAAGGCATGACCCCAACACACCTGGAGCCCCTTGAGTGACTCGCCAAGTTATCTTTGAAGAGGAACCGACCTGATTCGACTGTGAAAATCGGGATGACACTCCCCGAGGACAACCAGCTCCAGCTCATCGATTTCCTGAAGGAAAATACCGATGTGTTTGCGTGATCCTCCAAGGAGATGCCCAGAATCAACTTAGGAGTAACCCAGCACCACCTCAACATCCACCCCGAAGCCAGGCCGGTGAAACAAAAACTGAGAAAGTATACTCCCGACCGATAGAAAGTGATCAACGATGAGATCGACCGGCTCAAAGAAGCAAGACTTATAACCGAGGTAAAATACCCTCAGTGGCTATCGAATGTAGTCCTCGTTAAGAAACCCAATGGAAGCTAGAGGATGTGTATTGACTACATCGATCTCAACCGAGCATGCCCCAAGGATTGCTATCCACTCCTAAGAATAGACAACAAGCTATTCAAGCAGCAGCTCGGGAGGAACATGGAGGTGTACATAGACAACATGATCATGAAGAGCAAGACAGCCAACACACATTTGGCCGACATTGCAGAGACATTCCGAACGCTCGGGTGATTCAACATGCGACTAAATCCCTCGAAGTGCATCTTCGGGATCAGCTCAGGAAAAATTCTCGGGTTTGTCATCCACCAGAGGGGGATAGATGCCAACTTGGAGAAGATTCGGGCCATAACAAAAATATAGCCTCCTTGCTTGATCAAGGAGGTGCAGCATCTCGCAGGAAAATTGGCGGCGCTCAGCCGGTTCGTGTCGCGATCAGGCGACAAGTGCCTCCCCTTCTTCTAGGCTCTTCGGTAGGTCGATAACTTTGCATGGACCCTGGTATGTCAGGAGGCCTTTGAGAAGCTAAAGATGTACCTCACTCGATTGCCTTGACTCGCCTCACCCGAGTCGGGCGAGGTCCTCGGTCCCTACCTTGTAGCTTCGGCACATGCGGTCAGCTCGGTGCTAACTCGAGAAGTGCCACCGACATAGCAACCTGTCTATTATGTCAGCCACGTCCTCGTCGGGCCCGAGGTATGGTACTCCCTGATCGAGAAACTAACCCTCACATTGATGAAAATGGCCTGAAAGTTGTGACCATACTTCCAAGCCCACACCATCAGAGTGATAACCGACCAACCATCGTGACAAATCCTCTCCAAGTTCAATGCGTCAGGTCAGATGAAAATGGTCGATCGAGCTTACCAAGTTTGATATTCAATACGCACCCAGAACGGCCATCAAAGCTCAAGTATTGGCCGACTTCATCTCTGAACTAACCCCTGAAGATCATGCTATTGAACAGGAGCACAACAAGGGTGCATGGACCTTACATGTGGACGGCTCGGCCACCATCGAGGCAATCAGGATTGGACTTATCCTCAAAAGCCCAACCAGAGAAACCTATGAAAGATCACTCTGGTTAAAATTCTGGGCCACCAACAATGAAGCCAAGTACGAGGCACTACTCTATGGACTACGCCTCACCCTGGAGATGCACGTGGGTGACCTCAAAGTTTTCAACGATTCCCAGCTAGTGATGGGACACATCAACAAGAGCTATGAAGCCCGAGATCCGATGATGGTGCTATACCTGATGGAAGTAAGACGGCTCACCCATCACTTCAACCGCCTCTCGATCACGAGGGTACCTCGGGTGCAAAACACATAAGTCGACGCTTTGGCCAGGTTAGCCTCTGCTTGCAACCTGGAGGCAATCATGACAACTAAATCCATAACGGCGCTAACCATACCAACCCACGACATTGTTGAAATGAAGGTCTCGCAAAACTGGATGGAAGAAATCCTCCATTTCAAGAAGGACAGGACACACCCCAATGACCCAACAGTCGCGCAACGATTAAGGCGGACCCAAGCCTGGTACTACGAGGTCGGTGGAAGGCTATACCAGAGAGCCTTCTCTCAACCCCTCCTGGGCTATCTTGTGATGTTAGAGGCCAAAACGATCCTCACCGAGCTCCACGAGGGGATCTGCGGGGAGCATATCGGGGGCCAAACCTTGGCCTTCAAAATCCTCAGGTAGGGATACTACTAGCCAACCATGCGCCAAGACGCCATATCATACGTACGGCGGTGCCAACAATGTCAAAGGCATGCCCGGTTGCAACACCAGCTAGCGGTGCCTCTCGCCCTGATGGATGCGGCCTAACCCTTCGCTCGGTCTATTGTCAGTCATATGGGATACAATTGAAGTTCAGCTCAGTCGCACACCCCCAAACCAACGGCCAGGTCAAAGTGATGAATCAAGCAATCATGGAAGGCCTCAAGAAGATAATCTCGGGTGCACGCGGGGCCTGGGTGGATGAGCTCCCCAGCGTCTTATGGGCGATGCAGATGACCCCCAAAACTACCTCGGGAGAGTCTCTGTTTAGCTTAGCATTCGGAACCGATGTAGTACTTTCACCCGAAATGGAGTTCCCGACCTTACGCACCATCGTCTACAAGCAGGATGACTCTGAGGAAGGCCTATGGGCAAACTTGGATCTCATTGAAGAGAAAAGAGCCGAGGCACACCTACGCACCCTGGCATACAAAAAGGCCATGGCTCGGATCTACAACCGCAAAGTTCAGCCACGACCAATCAAGGTCAGGGACCTCGTCCTTCGAAAAGCTGAAGTAAGCGACCCGACCTGAACAAGGGGTAAGCTCGTGCCAAATTGGGAGGGCCCCTACTGGGTCTACAACGTGGTCTGAGAAGGGACCTACCACCTCGAGACTATAGAGGGAAATCCCCTATCGAGAACATGGAATGCAGCAAATTTAAGAAAATTCTATCCATGAAGGGAGGAAGTCAAGATGGCAAAAAGTTGATTTTCATTAATCAAGAAGAAGATACATGTTGCGATCAGGCAATACAATCTCAAAATTCGACTAGACCAAAGTAAAAAAGAAAAAAAGTATAGCCCTTAGTGTGGAGGAGGAGTCTCGGGCCCGTCGTCGAAAGGGACGTTCGCCGGCATGTCGATGCTCTGATCCTCCGGCTGGTTGGCGAATGGGTCCGACTCCAGGTCCAGGTCAGGGTACCTCGCTCGAAAGCAAGCATAAGCCTCCCGGTACTCGAACTCATATGTCACCCGCCCCGATCTCACTAGGTCACACTCGAACCCGGGGGATGACTTGTATTCGGCGATCACCCCCTTGATCTTTTTGGGCAGCAATAGGCACTCCTCCTTTAGAATTTCCTCGGTGGCCCAAGCAGAAGATCTGGCGGATTTGACATCTCAGGAGAGGGTTTGCAGCTCATCGTCGAGCGTCCGAGCACGGGCTTGGCTTTCCTCCAGCTTGGCCTTCAAACGATTCACCTCTTCGTCTATGACCGAGGCACACTGTTCGACCGCGGCAACGGCCTCCAGGCCAACTCCGCTCTTCAGCTCCAAGATCTCCAGGCGAAGAGCAGAATTGGCATCCGACAGATGCTCGACCACTCGCCCGGCGTCATGGACCCAGTCGATCAGCGCCATGGTATAGTGCTAGCCTTGCACGAAGATTGACGTTAGAACCCACACAAAGAAGGAATAATCAAACAAGGAAAGAGCGCCACTACTTACCTAGACAAATGACTTGGCTACCCGATCCACTAGCGCCTCTGAGGAGGAGTAGTAGAGCTCCTTTGCTAGGGTCGGGTGAAGCGCCCCTCAGATGAATTCTTGGGTGGTCGACCCATTGGCCCAGATCTGACTGTCGACCTTGAGGTTCACCCACCGAGAAGCGTAGGGGGTCCTCAGCTCTCTTGTAGGGAGATTGGCCATACTCAGGGCCTGAAACTATTCACCTTTGGCATGAGAATGGACGCGACACAAGTCTCTCATCGACTTCAGGCGTGCCAATGGCCTCCTCGAGGGATCATTGCCAAACGGCCCGGCCACCCCCTTTCCTTTCACGCTCCCCGAGCCCTCACCTTGGGGAGCAGCCCCCAACGACCCCGGGGCATAACTCTTGTGAGCGGTCGAGCTTACGTATGTCTTTCGGGTCTCGATTTTCGTCCTCTTCTATGGGCGACCTGCCTCCGGAGACCCCGACACCCTCCTGGGTGTGCCCCTCTGCGAGGCACCCCCTGCACCGAAACCCTCACCGCCCCGAGATGGTGGCACGGTGGCCTTGGCATGGGATACACCCTTCACCAACTGAAGGTTCACCATCTCTGTAAACAAAAGATCGATCGGTCAGTTAGCCCGGGATGAGACAAATGACCCAAAACACGCAAATAACCATACCCCCAGTGGCTGGACTCAGTCCCGCCTCGACCAGCCACTCCTCGGTCATCTCCCTAATTGCCCGAGAAGAGGATAGGACGCCCCTTAATTGACTCACGTCCATGGTTTCTCCATTAGAAAGAAACGGTGGTATGTTGTTGATAGTTCGAGAAGTTCATCCGGTACTTAAGCCCCACCCCCGACCGTAACTGATAAAGAAATAGCGACTCTTCCAACCTTTGTTATTGTAAGGAGTGCCGCTAATCTTGAAACCACTATGGGCGGTCAGGTAATACCCACCTCGCTCTTTACACAGAGGGAAGCAAGCCAGGAAGGGCATCCGGGACGGCTCAATCCCTGCTCCCCAACATTCCCCGAGGAACGTCGCCATATAGCGCCAGGAGTTCGGTGCCATCTAGGGCGGCGATATGCTCCACTTACGGAGGCACTCCTCGATAACGAGATGCAACGGGAACCGTAGCCCCGCCTCAAGGGCACCCACTGTCAGCCCAAATTCGTTGGGAAACAGATCATACGGCCGCTGGCAGGACCGAGGGGCGTACATACCATAATGCCTCGGGATACAATAGCGATCCTAAATCACCCCCAAAAGTTCCTCGGTCACCACCGAGTCTACATCGTGCCACGACTTGAGGGTTTCGAGCACGGCAGAACCCCCAGTGGCCCCCAAGGACATGCCACCTGAAGACGAGCTAACAACCTCAACCCCTGGACCCCCAGAAGAAGAAGATTGACTTGAAGAAGAAGACAAAGAAGAAGAAGACGAGGAAGAAGAAGATGAAGAGGAAGACGGAGACATCCCGACCTCAAGGTTGGAGGGAGCCGGGGCGCGGAACGAAAGGCTGAGCAAAGTAGCAACCATTGTTCTGGAAGGAGCTTATAAAGGGGAAGCAAACCCATCACGAAGCGACATTTTGGCTCCCCGAGGAAAGAGATGATCATAGCATTCAAAGCCCATCATAACTCCTAGGATTTCCCCATATTCTCTAGTTTCGAAGCTCCCACCAAAAGATCGCGCGTAACAACGAGCCTCCCACCAGAAGCAGCTCATGAAAGGACTCCTGCTAGGGACCGCTCGTGATAGGTAACTTCCTGCCAGAACCTGCATCGCCCCGCTCGGCATGCCACATGGCACGATGGCACGTGCGCGCCCCCGGGCGTGTCACCCTATGACTCGCCAGTATTAAACCTAAGCCCGAGACCAGTCACTCGGCC